CCCTCATTCCTTCAAGTAATGCCTCTTCTGTTCATCCCTGCGCGCACCTCTATGTAATAACTTGGGTACTGTCCCCACCCCGTATCAGTCTATATTAGGGGTCCTATTAAGGGCTATATATAACCATATTATACTTACTATCCAACTGTTATTGAGGGGGGGCAGTACTGAAGGTTTAGGGTTCAGGGGCTTAGTGCAAGAGCCCAGATGCAAAAAATAGTGTTTTTGGTTTAGGGTTTAGGATCTATAGGGTCCTCATTAAGTAGATAGAATATGGAATTGCCCAACATCATAATAAGATCCCCATATACTTCATATTCTATCTACTTAAGGGGGGCCATAGTGTTGAGGCTAAAGCTGCCAGGTTTAAAAGCACATTTGAGCGGCTTCTGCTGTCCTGTACCCTAAGCCCTTAACCCTCAACCCTTAAAGGCAGATGCTGGCATCAAGACCATGGAGAAGGTGCTTCCAGAGGTGCCATGCCATCAACTGCGAACAGAGATCGTGGCAGTTTGCGCTAACATGCGCGTGTGCAATCCTCTACAACTTACGGGTGCTTAGTAGCGAATACCAGACTATAATCCCTATACAATATAATCCCCAGATCGTATATTCCCTTATTCCCTACCTAAACCCTAAACTCTACATACAACATTCCCTGCCGCTATGAACCTCCAGCAAGACAATCTTCTTATCCAAACGCAAAAGCGCGACCATGCCCGGCCCATGCTTTAAATGCATTTGTGCTCCCATTTCCCAAGATCGATGTGGCATACTGAGCTTCCTTGGCTTGAGACTTAAGTAATTCAGATGAGCCATAGTCACAACTCCTTAAAGGGCGTTGTTTGGGGATATATATATATATTTTGGGGACTATTCTAGGGGTTATTAAGGGGGATACTAGGAGCTTAGACGATGGCTCAGATATACTCCAGGAGCACTATGGCATCTTCTGTTCCCAGCTCTACAGGGACGTCTTTGAAGACGTTGACGGAGACTCGCTGGTTGTTAGCAGGGAATAACCCAGAACCCCAAGCCCTACACCCTGGACCTGGACCTTATATGGTAGTTTCACAAAATAGGGAGACCCCAAGATAGTATAATCCTTATAGGGGCCAAAAAGGTACCCCAATTTTGGGAAACTCCCATAATATGCCCGCAACCGGTAAGGAGACGGCAAACTTGATTCTGTCTCCAAAGTCAAAGCAGCCGTCCTGGAATTCTTTGAAATTCCAGAGGACTGGCCCATTGGGATAATGGGAAAGAAAATGGAAGCTACTATCTAGGGTTGACGGTTCAGGGTTCGTATAGCCAACCCAGAACACTTTTTCCTAAACCCTTTAAACATACGTCAGAGACTTGAGCAGATGCCAACTGATGCAGGAAATCTTGCACGATCCTAGCCTATACCCCAGGAACCCTAAACCCTACATAATCCCTAAACCCTAAACCCTAAACCCTAAGCCGCATATAGGGAATTTTAGGTTCCATCCAGCGAGGACTTGAAGAAGCGCCGCAAGCAGGAGGGGGCTGGGCCAAGTAAAAGCTCCGTAGCCAGCTCCGAGCTTTTTCTTCGTAGTGTTTAGGGTTAAGGGTTTTAGTGTGCTGGTTCTTAAAGTAGAGAATCAGGGAATATATAGTATAGTATAGGGTATAGGGGTTATGTAGGGATCATATTCCCTTCTTCCCGACTGGCACTCTACGTAAACCTCTCTAGACCCCAGGGACTAATCCCCTCCTCCTAGTATTACCCCCACCCCCACCCCAAATGTTAAAGATTCCTAACGTATCAGATTACACCACGATGGAAGAATTAGATGTTACGGGGTGGGGGGCTTTAATGTTGGGAGAGGACCCTAAACTTTAACCCATAACCTTAATCCCTAAACCTTACTCCTGGGATTACTGAAGCTGAAATGATAGGCAGGATCTGGCGGGATGCCGCTAGAACTCAGCGCCGGCAACTTGTCCCAGTATTTCTTCAAGATCGACTTTGTCAAAAAGGTGCCCGAGGGCTAAGGGTTTAGGGTTAAGCGTTTAGGGTTTAGGGAACCCCTGGATTTAGGGCTCAGGCCTAAGCCCTGAATCCCTTAACCCCCTAAACCCCTAAACCTTCTGTTCTTGGAGTTGCGTTGGGCCTAGCAAGATACTTCTCCAAACAATCCCAATATAATCTCCAATAACGGCCAGCTCCAGGATTTTCTAAATAATCCCTAGAAAGCCTGGGGTTCCCAAGGGGCCCCCTGTTTTGAGAAACTCCCATCAACTAACAAGGGGGTTTAGTTACCCAACCTTTGAAGTTAGGAGCGTGTGATAGTCATATGATATTTATAAGGTCCGTAGTATAGGGGTTGAGGTAACTAGAATACCTTGTGATAATTGCTTGCAAGAGCATAGTTTCCATTTCATGTTTCGTTTTCGTTTCCAGTTGATTCTCCAGTACTGGAGTTTTTCCTTCAACCCCGAAACCCGAAACCATAAACCATAAACCCTAAACCCTGAACCCTGAACCCTAAACCCTAAACCCTGAACCCTAAACCCTAAACCCTTATGTGGAGGTTGCGCAGCTGCGCTGGAAGAAGTGGCATTTCATCCCCAAGGCTTGGCAAAAGATCAAGAGCTCATAGTCTCCCCGCGGTGTAGGGACTGTGTAGGGTTTAGGGTTGTTTTGGGTTTAGGGTTCAGGTTTTCAGGGTTGAGGATTTAGGGTCCGGATGCCCAAAAAAGGGTTTAGGTTTTAGGATTCAGGGCTTAGGGTTCAGGATGGTCAGCAGGAAACTGAACTCAAGATTCAAACTATCAAAATCAAATGCAAAATGGACTGGAATATGGGGTATGTAGGGGGATGGTACAAAGATCAAGCGGGGGGTAAGGTAAAGACCTAATAGGACGATGAATCCACCCTAAATGTTGGATGCAACAGTTGCTCGTCTCAGGCTATGCCTTACATCGACCTCAAACTTGGTCAGAAGGTGGAACCGCCCAAGCAGGATCGAAACGCCCGGCGGATGGAGATGTTCATCTTTGATTCCTTCCACCTGTGCAAAAGTGTTGTGGCTCTCCAGGCAAGGTAGAAGCGTGGATCGCGCGTCATGTCAATCTGTTTCCAAAAAGATGCCTTTTTCCTGCTTTGCTGCTTTGTGAGTTTTTTGTGCTAACTGTCATCTGCTTGTCCCTGCTGTTGCACCCTCACACATTTGCTAGTCGTTGGTTTGCATCTCTGCCAGATGCTGGGTCGTCTGCTCGTGCTTAACTTCTTGATCTTCTTGTTGTTAACCTTGCTGTGCCGGCTAACTGGCTCATAGGCCTGTTCGCAACTTTGTGTTCCCTTTGCATGCGCTCTGTGACTGTGTTTTGCTCTGGGTTTTTGAGTGCTGGGTGTCGTGTGCATGCTCGTGTATTCGCGAGTTTGCATCTCAGTGGGTTTTGACTGCCAGGTGCCGCGGACGGAGTACGCATTGGTGAAGAACGTTTCAGGGCCAGACTCTCCGCAGACTGCTGTGCAGGCAGTTGGTCAGCTCCACCAACACTGGATCATTCGTGCGGGCGGATCCTTTGTGGATGCTAAAGTGGCCGGCGAGACTGAAGACCTGAAGTGTGAGATCTCACCCTTGGTCTCTTATGATGGGGAGGATTTGGAGGGTCAGTTTCTGAGACCTCTTGCATTGCCTTTCTACTTGCCGTCACAGATGGAGTTCACAGACTTCTCAGCAGCCACTGCTCCACTTGCAAGGAGACCTTCCACTCACTACCTGGATTGGCAATCAGACATTGTCCGTCATGAGCTGGAAGTGGAATTGCACGCACAGCTGGGTAACGTATTGGAACTGATGGAGGACCCCTCCAAGTACGATTACCATGGGGAACGTGCAGTGGATGCTGTGGAGACTCTGCCACCAACTCCACGTGACACAGGGCCAAAGAGGCCTGGAGCAGAGGCCACACAAGGATCTAGCAGCGCTCGAAAGGATTCCAAGCAGGCTGCCGCAAACGATCCGACAGAGCCGCTAGCTTCACTTGAGGGCCCGCCTACAGAAACCTACGCTGACCCCAAGAAGACCATCGCCAGTGAGAAGCGCCAAAAGTACTGGGGGCGAGACGCTGCCCCGACGAGCGCGCGAGCACCTCAATCGGCACGAGCGCCGCCATCTGCGCGGGGTGCTGCTGGCGCTGGCGAGCCATCTCCGCGCGAGCGCGGCAGCGCGCGCGGTCAAAATCAGGGCAGCGCGCGGGGCAGCGCATCACCTGCTGAGTGATAGCATGAAAGTCTACGATTCTCTGTAACCGGTTCAGCCAGGTCACATGCGTACTTGCATGTCTGAGGAGGAGCTAACACGGCATCTCCTGACCGCGGGCCATGGTAGAGAAGTAAAACGCACCTGCTAATTGCTGTCATGCAGTCCCCGCATGCTGCCGAGTATACATCTACCGCTGCTAGCACACAATATGAGCAAGCATCTAAATGGTAGCATTATGTAGCAGTACTGCAGAAGGAAATGAGTGCAATGAGCTGAGGA